ATAAAGAACCTCATACACAAACCCCCAAGGTTACCTTGTAAATCAACATGAAAACCCCCCTTTAGTTTAGAGCCCAAACCTTAACTTTTACCCAAATCTTCCCAAATCTCACCATTTATACAAAATGACAAATATTTAGGTTAAAACTCTTATTAAAGAGTAGAATATCCCTATCTCAAGTGTGGAAGCTCAAAGGAGAAAAAGGGAGAAACTTTGAAGATGACCAAACTCCACATTTTTCGGATCAAATGGAAGCTCACACAATACAATACCTCTTTAGCAAAGGGACTAGGGTAGAAACTCTTAGGTTCTAAGGGATTTGTAGAGAGAAGTTGGACTTTTAGAGAGAGAGGTAGCCAATCTTGGGTTTTTAGGAGAAAAGAGATCAAAAAGTGAAGTAAAATCACTCTGCTGTGAACTGATGTACGCAACCTTCGCTCGAGCGAATGAGTTGTCACTCAAGCGACCAGACACAACAAGTAACCTTGCTCAAGCGCAAGAAGCGTCGCTCGAGCGTAGAATGCAAAGTTTCAGGTCTGCCACAGACGCAGACGCACGCTCGAGCATAAGAAGTCTCACTCGATCAAAGGAATAAGTAACACATGGCTCACTCGAGCGCAAGAAACCTTGCTCGAGCGAAGAACTTCATATTTCCCAGAAAAGATGCGTCTAGAAGAAAACCTGAGGACTCTCAATCCTTGCTTAAGAGCAAGAAGCGTCACTCAAGCGAAGGAACAAATTCAACAAGGCTCGCTCGAGCGCAAGAAGTCTCGCTCGAGTGAAGAAGTAGAAATCTGAGCGACAACAATCTAAACCATACAATAACCAACCTGTTCCCAACTCGCCCAACACGTTCCAAAACTCAAATACAAAGAGTTAAAGGGAAAAAATAAGACAGGGATACAATATTCAACCACGGAACCCAAGTCCGGGACACAAAGAAAGTCGGGGCACAACCGGGATCGCTATATCGGCAATACTAGGAATGGTGGCGTTAAGGCAAAGTGCCTCAAAAGCCTCTCTTAAAGGCTTGTATCAATTTAGTGAGGTGTTCCCTCCGCAAGTTAGCTACGGCGACTGTAGTTGCTGTGGTAGCTATCTCCCGTGGCAAGTTCAACTGGCGGCACAGATAATACTAGAGATGGCGGCGCCGACAAAGTACCTCCGTAACTTGGTCACTGCAAATGTTGTCTCTACAACTTAATTGCTTCGATTTTCTCTTTACCTCAGTAATTTCAAATGGCAATAGAACTGACAATATTGGGAATAGCAGCACTGAGGCAAAATGCCTCAGCAACTTGACTACTGCAAGTGTTGCCTTCGCATCTTAACTTGGACATTTTTCTTTATGGAGTTGGTTCGGACCTTTGGTGGGTCAAACTTGCTCCAGCCCATTGTTGACCCACTTCTCTTAAGCTTTGGCCTATGCTCCTTTAATCATTCCTAGTCACCTAATAGGGGTGACCTCCATACTTAGGTCCATACTTAATTTTGACTTTAATTTATGACCCTCTATACTCTTTAACCACTGTATCAGACTTTTCACTCTTAATATATATCAGACTTGCTTTTATACTAAGGGCTTTTAATCTATTTATGATAAAAACAAGTCTCAAAATCCCATAATATAAGCTACGTTGGTAGCTATTTCAAATTTTTATTTTCTCAAAAATTTTCAGTTACTCTTCGACCATTGTATGAGACTTTTCACTTTTAATATATATCATACTTGTTTTGATCTATTTATCTATCTCGGAGCATATCCAATGCTTTATTAAATTTGAGTGAAAATTTGAGTAAAAATTTAATGAAAAATTTGATCTAATATGATGCACTTGAATGGTAAATTTAGGGGTTGTTTAGGATGACCTAAATAAGTGTATTTTTTGCTTTTTTATGAAAAGATGTGCAGAAAAGTAGAGAGGTGATGTGATGAAAAAAAAATAAAAAGATGAATTATTTTAGAGTTGCCAAACTTGGCCTTAAAAGTTTGATTAAATTAGCCCGTCGACCTACCTAGAGTAAATTTTTATAAAATCTTTTTACAAAATTCCTAATTCATCGCAAAACCCAGTTGACATGTAGGTTGTCTAGCTAGTCATTCTTCTTAAGTGTCTAATTGAAGCCTCTGCAAAACCAACAGCTATTGGAGGAGAAATAAACATTATATGTAATGTAATTTTTTCTATTAATGATATTTTTTTAAATTTAATTTGTACAATAATTGTATTCTTTGATTTGTAATTCATAATTCTGTTTCATAGATGTTATTTGTTTCTTAAACCACTAATCTTCTCCACTTCTTATTGAAACATGAAGTTTGCTTTATTTAGGAGTTGTTTGAGATGTTCTAAATAAGTACACTTTTTGATTTTTTATAAAATATGTGTTGGGTTTGAAGTGATGTGGTAGAGAAGTGATGTGACTTAAATAAGATGATGTAACTTAAATAGGAGAGTGACTTTTTAACTTTTTAACTTTTTTTTAAGATGTCAAACTTAACCTTAATTAGATAATCGGTGCAGGTTCGAATGTTGGAGGTATAGGGGTAAGGAATAAAAAACTTTATCTCGTAACGAGATTGGGAAATGAAGGAGTGGTGGCAGGGACAGGGGCGGGTATTAACAAATCCAACAAAAATCTATCCTTGACCATCCCTATTCTCAATAATTTAAAAGATTTATTGGTACATTTTTTTTTTTTTTTTTTTTTTGTTACAGGGAAATCCTTCTACCCTTCCCCAGGTCCAAGGCCGCCCATGAGGAGATCACTAGGGTGTCCTGTTGTCTGTTCCGAGTAAGAGACTATAACTTGGAAGCTTGTCCCGACCTCCCAAGTATAACCTGAAAGCTTGTCCCGACCTCCCAAGGCAAGATGTATTTTTTATCTTTTTATGAAAAGATATGCAGAAAAGTAGAGAGATGATGTGATGAAAAAAAGATAAAAAGATGAATTATTTTAAAGTTGCCAAACTTGGCCTTAAAAGTTTGATTAAATTAGCCCGTCGACCTACCTAGAGTAAATTTTTATAAAATCTTTTTACAAAATTCCTAATTCATCGCAAAACCCAGTTGACATGTAGGTTGTCTAGCTAGTCATTCTTCTTAAGTGTCTAATTGAAGCCTCTGCAAAACCAACAGCTATTGGAGGAGAAATAAACATTATATGTAATGTAATTTTTTCTATTAATGATATTTTTTTAAATTTAATTTGTACAATAATTGTATTCTTTGATTTGTAATTCATAATTCTGTTTCATAAATGTTATTTGTTTCGTAAACCACTAATCTTCTCCACTTCTTATTGAAACATGAAGTTTGTTTTATTTAGGGGTTGTTTGGAATGTTCTAAATAAGTGCACTTTTTAATTTTTTATAAAATATGTGTAGGATTTGAAGTGATGTGGTAGAGAAGTGATATGATTTAAATAAGATGATGTAACTTAAATAGGATAGTGACTTTTTAACTTTTTTTTAAGATGTCAAACTTAACCTTAGTTAGATAATCGGTGCAAGTTCGGATGTTGGAGGTGTAGGGGTAAGGAATAAAAAAACTTTATCTCGTAACGAGATTGGGAAATGAAGGAGTGGTGGCAGGAACAGGGGCGGGTATTAACAAATCCAACAAAAATCTATCCTTGATCATCCCTATTCTCAATAATTTAAAAGATTTATTGGTACATTTTTTTTTTTTTTTGGTTACAGGGAAATCCTCCCACCCTTTTCCAGGTCCAAGGCAGCGCCCCATAAGGAGATCACCAGGGTGTCCTATTGTCCGTTCTGAGTAAGAGACTATAACCTGGAAGCTTGTCCCGACCTCCCAAGGTAAGCTTCGATTAAGTCAGGACTCGCACAGCGGGGGAACATTAAACCCACACCAAGTAGCTAATTAGGCATCATTGAGGTTCAACCTCCTATTCTCAATAATTTAAAAGATTTATTGGTACATTTTTTTTTTTTTTTTTGGTTACAGGGAAATCCTCCCACCCTTTTCCAGGTCCAAGGCAGCGCCCCATAAGGAGATCACCAGGGTGTCCTATTGTCCGTTCTGAGTAAGAGACTATAACCTGGAAGCTTGTCCCGACCTCCCAAGGCAAGCTTCGATTAAGTCAGGACTCGCACAGCGGGGGAACATTAAACCCACACCAAGTAGCTAATTAGGCATCATTGTCCGTTCTGAGTAAGAGACTATAACCTGGAAGCTTGTCCCGACCTCCCAAGGCAAGCTTCGATTAAGTCAGGACTCGCACAGCGGGGAACATTAAACCCACACCAAGTAGCTAATTAGGCATCATTGAGGTTCAACCTCCTAACCAATAATACTTCGTCCAGGAGATTGACCCAAGAGAGAATTGAACTTGTGACCTTGGGGCATAAACCCCAGGGCCTTACCACAATGTCACAAGCTCTTGGGTTAAAATAATAATTTCTTTGTAATATAAGGGTCACCATGTAAATAACTGTTCTAACATAGATATGAATCTTGTGTGTGAATTTATGCAAACAGCTTTCGCCGCGTGTCATCACCAACCGCATAGGCCACTAGACTCGTCACATCACAATCCCAAATCCAATAAAAGCTGCAATACAGGTTGATCTGGCAGCTGTCATGTTATTATAACACGACACGCGTCTCCCTACCGTCTCAACTGCCGCTCACCTCGTACGGAAACGAGGCCCACTGAAACAAACAACACAACCACGTGTCGGACCCTCAAGAAGCTACGTGGTTCATCCTTCTAGGGGGTGCGTAGACTACACAACTGAAAGTGACGGCTGAGATTCGAGGAGACAACCAAGATCTCAACCCACGTGGCCGTATTTCCGGTGGACCGGATTCACAGCTATTGGGTGAAAAACTCCAAATCGAACATGTGTCTGGCTCTCATTCATGTTAGCACTGCCCCGCTCGATGTCCACCACGTGTCAATCCCAACGCATGCAATTAAAACACAGAAACAACCATGAAATAATGCCTTCCCGCTAAATTTAACTTGACACAATCTTCCTACGTGTCAACCCAACCGTCCCTCACGCCTCGCCAGGTGGCATTCCGTCTTCGCCATCTCTCTTTTTGTGTGATTTTTGGGTAGATCTCTCTCTCTCTCTCTCTCTCTCTCTCTCTACTAAGTAATCAATTCAAAACCAAATTGAAGAAGAAGAAGCAAACCCTAGAAAAATATTTTTGTGGTTATTGTTGATGAAGTTGTAGACTTGGATGGCGAGCAATCGTGCAATGTTGGAGGTTTCTCGAGTTGGAGAAGATGATGAAGAGATTGAGCTGAGTTTGGCGTTGTCTGTTGGTGGAAGTTTCAGAAACTCCACGAAATTAAATCCTCAAGTTGAGAAAACAATCAATTCAGACGCAGATCTGATCAGCCAGGAAAATCAATGCCTCTCGAGATCTTCGAAGATCGATCCGGTTGTTGGAGATTCTGAGCCGGAGAATTTAGATCCGCATAGAAAACGCGAGATTCAAGCGCTGAGAAGGCAAGAGGCGCGAAAGAAGAGAGAAGAGAAGCTGAGGACGGGCGTTGTTTTGTCTGACGATAAAATGTTGCTGGAGACTCAACGCCTTCAAAATTGGGTCAGAGACAGAGAGATGAGAGAGAAGGAAGCAAACGTTGCAGAGCGAACATGTAAGAGAGATAAAAAGGGAATCGGCAACAAATGCGTTGTCGTGAATGAGGAAGAGATGAAACAACACAATGAAGCCCCAAATCTAAGTCAGGGGGGTTCGATTCCGGTGCAGTATGTGCCGTTGGCGTACCCTTGTGTGACGCCGTGTTGGGGTCCAAATGTTGTGGGTTGGCGGAGTTTACAGCCATATCAGGGGAATCTGAATTCTGGGTGTAATCCATTGATTGGGTCCGATTCAGAGCATAATAACAGCGGCAAAGACGGTGGAAATCGGAATGCGGTGTCGAATGGGTCTCCAGTCTGCAGTTCTTCTGTCGTTTCGGAACATGGCAGCACCTCTCGCCAAGGTATATCTCTGTTTCTCTTTCTCTTTTAACATTTCTTTCTTGCTTGCAAATTCACCTGTAGTTTATATGCCCTCTTTCGATTTTTAGTTAAACAACAAGATTGAAGGCGTGTTTAGCAGAAAACCAAACTAGTAGATGATTTTTAGTTTAACTCTTGGAATTTTGGGACTGTTTTCTTAGAGTTTTTAAGTTCTCTATTCATCCTAGATAATTAGTTCGCATTGGCAGTTGTTGATTTTCATGTTTTTAGCCAAAGTTCCAATTCTCTTTTTTAAGATTAGATTCTTTCATCACATGGTTTAGTCTGACATGGAGATTTCTTCCACTTTAAAAGTTGTGTCAAAATTGATTGCAAGCAAGTACTATGCCATTTTGGATTGTAATACAAAATTTGATTGAGAAAGAAACTCACTGCAGCAAAGTGAATGACTTGCACTAGGAATTGTTGAGTGTAGTTTTTCCATTTCTTGATCAAAATATTTGGTTCCAGGATGGGTGAATTTGGGAGCATTACAGGTTTCATGATGCCAAGTCAGATCTATAGATATCATTGTGGTTTCAGCATGATGTATTTCTCAAGTATATGTCGAATGCAATTTAGATTGAGCCTCTTGTTTATTGATGGTGGCATCCCAACTGAGAAAAGGTAGCTGCTTGCCATGGTTGTAGAGATCATAGGGTTTTTTTTTTTCCAGTCAAATTATTAAGAGAGAGATCTAAAGGGTTGGTGGGGTTAGCCGTGGTTCATTATGTAAAACCTTGGTTAGCTATATTCCATTACATTGCTTAAATAACAATTGGGCTGTGTTTGGATGATGGATTTAGGTAGGCAAAGGAGAAGCAAGAGAAATGGAGAAGAAAATTAGCTTCTAAACACAATCGTAGGGTCCGTTTGGGTGAATTGGATTTTAAATCAAAGGATTTGACCTTAATCATTCAAAGATCATAATTCAAATTTAGATATGGTAGTTTACCAATGAATTTCAAGATTTAGTTAAATAGCTTTATCATGATGGATTTGAAATAACCATGCTAAGAATTCTCTTTTTAGTTACAAAAGCACTTACATCTTCTATCTCAACTTGTCTTAAATCTTCCATTGTTTTTCTATCCATTTAACTCCAAATGCTTTGATTTGAACTCCCGCATCCATACAAAGGCGCCCTTAAATTCTCTGTGGGTGAGTCAGAGAGACAGTTTTGGTTTGGTGAGGCAAGTAGAATATGACTTAAATTTCGATATTATTTGATTGACGAATCACTGTAGTCACTAAATGAGAAAATCCCCACAGTATATAGTTCAATCAATTGCAGTGTATGGTATCAAAACACTTTTTCTTCATTTGATGCCTTCTCATTTACTATCAGTAGGTTTCTGCTACAAACACCAAGATACCTTACCTGATAGGCAACTTGCACCTCCATAGCTCATACATGATCAAGCACAAAACTGTTGTCATTTGAAGTGTTTCAAACTTTAAGCTTCTCATGTAACTTGTGCAACTTCAGATGACAACGTCGATATTTTTGGAATTTTCCTGTTCTGCAGCAATTTGCATTGACAGTCTGAAAGTGTTTTCTCTTGATCCAACATATTGGAGTTTTATTCTTTTCTGGAATTTGTTGACTAAATTTCCTTGTCACATTAATAGCATGAACAACCTCAACCTACACTTCTTGAATCATTTTATTTGCTAGATGAAAGAATTGGTCATTGTCTATAAAAGGGCTTCTTGAATAGCTTTTAGATAAGTTAGTTCATTTAGGCTGCATGGACATTCAAGGATATTTCATGAGCATCTAAAGTGGAAAACCATCACCAAAGGTGGAGCTCTTAGGTAGTGCTTATGTCATTGGAATGAGGTAGAATCGAATGGAATTATCATTCCTTAACTTTTTTTCTATGAAGTGGTCATTCCTTTACAATAGTAAATGATGATTTCATTTGCAATGCTATTTTTATTATTTTTTAGTAAATTAAACGTGAGGACAGACATTTTGATGGAATGAGCATTCCATTCCACCTCATTCAAGTACACCAAATAAAGCATTAAAGAAAAATGGGAACAACTAATGGAATAGCATCAATATAATGCAGTCTAATTCATTGTTTTTAATGTAATTTGTGATAGTTGTGGCTTCAGCATTGGCCTCATTCATGTTGATAAAATTAGAAAACACCATTTAAAGTCAATGGATGGATCAATTAAATAATAAAAAATTCACCACACATTTGATTGCTAATAGAATCTGGACTAACTTCACTATACATATATCTTCCACCCTGAGATTAAGAATACATTTTGGTTCCTTTTTTCTTTGCAGGTGGCAGCAGCAGCAGCGATACTGGAAGAAGCCATTCAAGTCACTGCAAACCAGAACAATCCCAGCTGAACACAGCAAGCAAACAACTGGGACAGTCAGAGCACAGTGTTTCCTCTAACTATATGGACTCTGCCGAAGCCAATGCTAAAGCAACAAACTGTACTGAGAAGACAGTTTCACCAGGCATCATCCAAGCCCACCTGACTAAACATAGCGAACAAACTCACTCAGTAAGCCAACCTGATCCGGTTGAGAATAACATTAATAAATCTCAAAATCCAAACCCTGGTCCATCGAAGGTGGCCGATAGGGATTTCAGCAAGCCTCCAAAGCCCAAAACTCAGAGTGTCCCTTCCTTCTCACAAATGCCTTGTGTTTCAACTACAGGGAATGGTCCAAATGGGAAAACCATTACGGGGTTTTTGTACAGATATACCAAAACAGAGGTCAGCATCGTTTGTGTGTGCCATGGAAGCTCATTTTCTCCAGCTGAATTCGTGGAGCATGCTGGAGGCAAGGATATAACACATCCGCTGAGGCACATTACAGTGATTCGTTCTGCTTTTGGGTGATAGAAACTATACCTGAAGACGTTTGAATCCTTTTTTTTTTTTTTTGGGTCTTGTTTTGTACCTTTTATGAGCTCCAGAAATTGAGACTGGTGAAGTCTCAAAAAATTGTGAGTAAAAATGTATGCTCGGTAAATGCATCAGCTCTCTCTGTCAAAAATGGGCAGAGGAGACTTGTAGGTTTTTCTGTAAACCCCTTTTGATTCCATAATATATTGTGATTACTACTTTAAAAACTTAAGATGAGGTTTAATGCGAAATTGACGTGCTCATTTTTCCTTTTCTGATTCCAGTAGTAATTTTTCATGTCTTTGCCATCTCAGCATGTTCTAATCCTGAGCATCCTAGTATGTTCAGGCATAGTTCTGGTTTGATTACGTTGTATAGGAAAAATTTCTTACTCATCTTATTTGATCTTTTTCAAATTTAAATGAATTTGTAATTTAGATTTAGGGTCCTCAATAAGCCAACTTTTGCCCCCAAAATCAGCTTCATTTCACCTTATTTAGATCTTTTACAAATTTAATCAATTATTTTTATGTTTAAGGTCCTCAATAAGCCAATTTTTTTACCCCCAAATTGATTATCCTGCATATTAAGGAGGACAATTTTATCCTTACTATCTCATTTAAATATGTATATATATATTTTTATCAGAAATCTCAATTAAATATTTAAGCTGTTAGAGAAGGATACCTTTATGATTTAACATGGGGGGGGGGGTTTGCTGGTGGTGTTGTTGTGGAGGAAGAATTGATAACAATAAGAACTTATAAATTTACATCATCACCATAGAAATGATTGAGACCCTTAAAATATGAACCTTAATTATAGTAATATGAACTATTCTATGTCAATTATTGATTAATTTAAAAATAAATCATCTAAAACTCAACTGTTTTCCATATCTTCACAAATATTTTTATTTCTTAAATACATATAGATTTAGGTGCATCTAAAAAATAAACATAAAAAACTCATTAAAAAAACACAAATTAAAAATGCAAAAAAATAAATTAAATATTAAAAAAAATTACTAAAAATATATATACAAATTAAAAACTCGAAAATTATTTTTGAAAATTTCAAGCCAAACATAATTTCTAGTCGATTTTTTATTCTTTCTGTTTGTTTGTCTCCTAACGTATGGCTAAATGAGTGGTTAAAACCTTGCATGTTGTCTTGAATGATTGGTGGGTATGCTTCCCACATAATTGTTAAAGGTTCAGCTCTTGGGGTCAGATCACACGAAAGAAATTTCTTGTAAATTCCCTTGTCTCGGCGTCGCCTTTGACCAAATCATGAAGGGAATTAGTCGAGTTGAGCATAAGTTGGCCTGAACATCCCTTACTGTTGAACTAAAAAAAAAAAATGAGTGGTTGAAATTTGATAACAAATTTATGGTTATATTTGGCAAATGTCATACTTTTGATTAAAAAATTAGTGTAACGGTGATACCACGACATTAATGATATGTGATATCATTAACTAATTATAAACATATACGAGAGGGATGAACCACACTTTCACGATGTAACCACCTTACCACGTATACATAGGAGAAAAAATAATTATTAAATGGTGATATCATGTCATTGATATTACCTTTTATATATATATATATATATATATTTCTATACTTTACCACATCATTAAAAAGAGTAATGCTATGAATATTTAAAAAAATTATCTCCAAAGTCATTGACGTGATGTATAGATACAAATACTAAAATTTTTTATCTCCAAAGTCATTGATGTGATGTATAGATGTAAATATTTTATCTCACATCTATGACTTCGGTGATTGTACGGGGAGCAAATATTCCGGCAAGCCCGTATTCCTTTCTTCCGAGCTCCGTCGATGTCCGATCACCTGCGAGCAAGTAATGGTGAGCTACATTAAAATCATAATCAAAATAATGTCATAACTAATATCATACTAAGTTATTTCAATTCTTGGTGTCTCAAATTCTAACCCCACATTCACTATACCAGGATCTCTCACTACCACCCCTACCCATTTTCCTTCCACCTAGCACTATCTCTTCTCTTACTACATACCTTCATTCATTCTTTCCCACTTCTTCCTTCCTTGCAACCCCTCGTCCCTCAAACTCTTCCATTTCCTTCAATCTCACCATTCTTATTTTTTTACGCCAATTCCTTTTTCATTTTCCTTGACTTTGCTTTCCAATAGTCGCTGATCCCAACCTCATATAAAAGATAGAGAGAAATTTTGACTGAAAGAAAAAGAAAAGCAATGAGTAATATCGAAAAGGATGCAGAATGGAGAGAAGAGGCAATAGGGTGATTGAAAAGGAGGCCATGGGAAGTGGTAGGGATGTGAATGTTTAATTTGTTGACAAGGTCAAACCTTAGATTTATTTTATTTTATTTTTAGTAATTTTTTCCCGAGCATCCTGGTCCGACCGAGCACTGCCTTACCGAGCAGTTTCTGTCCGGTCCGGGGTGACACACTCAGCCCGAACTCTGCCCGGCCCAATTCTGGGCAGAAAGTCGATCATCTCGGACCCACGCATCGTTGGGCCCTCAACTTGCTCGGCCGTTACCTCGGCCCAACTCCAGATCACAAATCACCCTCTCAGTGATCAAAACGTATTTTCCCTTTCAGAATTAACACCAACTCAGTCAAAGTTGAAATGATAGTAACTGAAAGGAAGGGAAGGAATGAAGTCAAAATTTACTATTGTTAGATTAGAGTATAAATGTTAAACTATAGTATTTTGAACACAATTACATTGGTTTATATGTCACTTAATTACTGTACGACTTCGTGAGAAAAAAAATTTGATGAAATTTTGAAAGTCGGTATTATTGGATTCTTTTGAATGAGCTTTCTATCTTCGTGAGTTTTGGTAAGAGGGTTTTGTGTTAATCTCACCAAACTAGAAAACAAAATTCAAATGGATTCCCATTGACTGGGAAGAATTTTGAAAAGTGAAGCCAAATGCCACCTAAAATGTTTATGCTTTTGTGTATCGGAGATACTTTTTTTATCCATCAATTATTATATCATATTTTTATATTTCTGTATTTTTAAATTCTCACATGATTCGATAATTACGAGTGTTTAAAAAAATAAAAAAAATAAAAAATTCCTTGGCCAAGGATAAAAAAAAAAACAAACTATAAATGTAGGAGAAGGGAGGAATAATTAATTTTAGTGGTACACAAAATCAAGTTTTTGTAATGACTTTGAACTTATAAGGATATGCATTTTATATTTATAATTAGAAGGGTGAATATTGGTTTAATGGTGTGCCATGGTTATTTAGGACTTTGAATTGACATATATAGGCTAGCAGCGATTGGAGTAATGTTTGACACTTCACAAATCCCCATCATTTGTTATGCACATCGGTAATGTTGTAAAGGGTCAGTTCCATATTCAAATTATGATATTTGTATGGTTTATCACCATAAATGTCAACTTAAAAAAAAATTAAAATAAAATAAAATAAAATTATAACCAAACACCACATAAGATATAATAAAAAAAAAATTTAAATCATAATCAAAATAATGTCATAACTAATATCATACTGAATTATTTCAATTCTTAACGTCTCAAATTCTAACCCCACATCCACTATACCAGCATCTCTCACTACCACCCCTACCCATTTTCCTTCCACCTAGCACTATCTCTTCTCTTACTACATACCTTCATTCATTCTTTCCCACTTCTTCCTTCCTTGCAACCCCTCGTCCCTCAAACTCTTCCATTTCCTTCAATCTCACCATTCTCATTTTTTTACGCCAATTCCTTTTTCATTTTCCTTGACTTTGCTTTCCAATAGTCGCTGATCTCAACCTCATACAAAAGATAGAGAGAAATTTTGACTGAAAGAAAAAAAAAAAACAATGAGTAATATCGAAAAGGATGCAGAATGGAGAGAAGAGGCAATAGGGTGATTGAAAAGGAGGCCGTGGGAAGTGGTAGGGATGTGAATGTTTAATTTGTTGACAAGGTCAAACCTTAGATTTATTTTATTTTATTTTTAGTAATTTTTTCAATAAAGTTTTTTTTTTTTTTTTTTGTGGTGGTTGTGATTTTGTCTTTAATATTAATTATATTTAAGGGTATGAATTGTAATAAAAATTTAACTTTTAATGACTACGCTTGGAAAAAAATCATGTACAAATACTTTCGAAATTATTTTCAGTTATCCTAATTTTAAGATTTTTTTTTTTGAAAGCTTCAAAAAAAATTAAATTATTTAGATAAATAATCAACTTTTCAAATTATTTATCAAATTAACTCTCTTTTTAAAAGCGCATGTTCAAAATATAATTCTATGATGAAATTGTATATTGAACATCCAATTGACATGACATGACCTACATCTATATACCAGTAAATTATATCAATATAAAATAGCATCTTAAACATGCAATTTTGTATTAACATGATCCACATCTATACACTAGTAAGTGATATCAATATGTAATTGCATTTTAAACATAAAATTTCATGATAAAGTCGCATTTTGAATTTGTATTTTTAAAAAAGTAAATTAATTTGATAAACAATTTGATTTTTTTAAATATGAAAAAAAACTTTTAGGTTTAGTGCGAATTAAAATTTCTTTCATTGGTTTGTAATTAAATTATCCAAATTCAGTGAATTCACTTTTTGTTTTTTGAAGAAAGACTATGGTAGGAGTGTATATAACTCTATATTTTCTGAGTTATAATTAAACACACACCAAAAAAAAAAAAAAAAAATGCCGCTCAAGCATCCATCCACTCAAGCGTAGGAAACGCCGCTCGAGCGTAGAATACATCCTTCCAGTAGTTTTGCAGACCTGCAAAAGTATTGAGAGTTTACAAAGTCTACTTGAGCACAAGAAGTGCCGCTCGAGCGGAAGAGCAAAAATCTGGACAACATAAGGTTTGAAACCAAGCAATCAACATGTTCTAAACACAACTACTACAACCCAATAGCCAAACTCAAGCAAGAATAAGGGGGGAAAAGTATGAACAACATGCATAAATCATAAAACTCGAGTCCAGAATACAAGATAGGTCGGGTTAAAATCGGAATCACTATAGATATTTTGGAAAATTTATCGGTTTTGATGCCAACAACGGCCTCTCTCAAGAGTACAATGTCAACAATAGTACAGTATTTTGAGACTACTGAATTATTCTTATTACTAGTGTCATGTATTTTTTTTTATATTATTAGTGATTAGCACACGTAATGCTCATGTAATTTAAATAAACACAAATAAAA